GTGTTTATTGATGGCCTTCTTGGAGGAGAACCAGGCCTCTAGGAATTCCAGTGCTTGTCTCTGTTTGGCCTGTCCTAGGATCCTGATGTTGTCCCAATCGAACTGATGGTTCTCCTTATCCGTGGGAGACGAGTGAGTATCGGTCATGTGTTTTTGTTGCTAGTTGGTGTTCATGTATTCTTGTGGCCTGTTTTCTTCCTGTCTGTCCAATGTAATGTTTGTCACAGTCCTAACATGGAATCCTATATATCACGTTGGTTCTGTCCATAGTAGGTAGGGTTCATGTTAGCAGTTGGTGTAGGGTTGATGTAGGTTTGTGTGCCACTCTGACACCCAGTGGCCGTAGGAGTCTTGTGGTCAGTTCAGATACGTTTTTGATGTCCGGTAACATGACAAGTGTGTCGGGGTGTACCTGTTGTTGTTTGTGTGACAGGCATTGTCGGACCCAGCTGTTCAAGTATTCATTCTCTCTGAATACTTGGTGGAGGTATTCTTTTCATTCTGGCATAGGTCTGGGTTGCTGCAGTGTGTTATGGCTTGTTTGAACAGTGTTTTTATGCAACTCCTTTTGTAGGTGTCGGAGTGGTTACTGTTGAAATTTAGGACTTGATCCATGTGTGTGGCCTTTCTGTATACCTTCATCAGAAATTCCCCATTGGCCCATCACGTCCAGGAATGGGAGCTGTTTGTTCTTTTCTTCTTCTCTGGTGAATTTGATGCCGGTGAAAATGTTGTTTATAAGTTGGTGTGATGGAAGTGTTGTCCACATATCGGATCCATAGTTTGGGTTGATCTGTGGAAGGGCCATGCTTTCAAGTCTCTGCATCACTGCTTCTGGCATTAGTCCAGAGATGGGTGACCCCATGGGTGTCCACAACCCGAGCAACAAATCTACTCAAGAATATTAGACACCTACAGGTGCAACATGCTCAAACTGGCTCGGAAATGGGAAACCTACACCAAACGACAGAGCTCTACCCGCGAGCAACTCTACTTCCAACATGGATGCCTCAGAAACCAGGTACAACTGCGCAGTGTTAGATACAAACCACCCATCGACAATGATTTGATTTATTACATCTTTGGGTATATTAACATTTTATACAATTAGAGTCCTTTGTATTTAATTGACAGGACATACAGGCATACAGGACAGCAGAACACAATGGCCACAGAATGGTGAAAGTAATGATTAACGAAGCCCACAAACGACTCCACAGATATGACAAGGAAGTTATGTGCCAAAAATCCCTATACCTAGACGCAACCAACCTATAGTGGACAACAGACTTAGAACAAGCCATTAACATTAGTCAACAGAAAACCAAAACCAAGAAAAGACAAATCCTACAAGAAAGGCTAGCCAAACTAACCAAACTAAACAACAGCCAGACGTCAGGCACCTGGATAAGAAATCTGTCCGACAGAAAACTAACAGACACAGAGAAAGCTGTATTAATACGTGGACTCAATTACAACCACAGAGATGGTAACAGGACAGAGTTCCTAGCCACACTAGAATCCACTCTGAAGACCAATGGCATCAATGAGGAAACACAATAAGCTATAAGACAGGCAGTGGTCCTGACACTGACCAGAAGGAACGAACTTAACACTCTCAACACGACAGAAAGGAAGGCCCTGGAAAGAAGACAAAAACATCATAATCCTACCAGCAGACAAAGGGCGCATGACAGTAATTCTTAACAAATGAGACTACATCACTAAAACACTGTGGCTCAGTGGTTAGCACTGCTCCCTCACAGCGCCAGGGACCCGGGTTCAATTCCAGCCTCAGGTGACTGTCTGTGTGGAGATTGCACATTCTCCCTGTGTCTGTATGTGTTTCATTTGAGTGCTCTGGTTTCCTCCCACAGTCCAAAGATGTGCAGGCCAGGTGGATTGGCCATGCTAAATTGCCTACAGTGTCCAGAGACGTGTAGGTTAGGATGATTAGCCATGGGAAATGCAGGGATATAGGCTACGGCAGTGGATGTAGGAGGGATGCTCTTCAGATTGATGTGCACTCGATGGGCTGAATGGCCTGCTTCCACAGTGTGGGGATTCTAATTCCAGGAGCAGCTTCTTTCCTGCTGTTATCAGACTTTTGAATTGACCTCTCAAATGTTAATGTTGATCTCTCTCTGCACCTTCTCTGAGACAGTAACACTGTGTTCTGCACTCTGTTCTGCGACCCTGAGGCACTTTGTATGGTACAATCTGCCTGAACAGCACACAAAACAACACTTTTCACTGTATCTCGGCACATGTGATAACAATAAGTCAAACTCAGGAGGAATTTCTTGAACCAGAGGGTGGTTAATCTGTAGAACTCATTGCTAAAAAAGGCTGTGAAGGTCAAGTGATTGAGTGTTTTAAAGTCAGAGATGAATCTGTTCTTGATTAGTACGAGGATTAATGGTTACAGGGAGATGGCAGGAGAATGGGGTGGAGAAATACAGCAGCCATGACTGAATGATGGAGCAGACTTGATGGGCCAAATGGCCTAATTCCGTCACATATCTTATGGTCTCATTTACATGCTGCCCTTCAGCAACATCATCTTAAATTACATATTTGTTTTGACATTTATAGCGACAACATCTGCATCACTGTTCTCAACTCCTTCATTCTTGTTAACTTATCAAACTGCTTATTCGAATTACAGTAGTGTATGAGCAGAAAACTTTCTTCCAATTCAACACTGGGATGACTAAAGCTATTAACTTTGGTCTCTGCTCTGAACTTGGCTCTCCAGTTACTGACTCCATCTTCTCCTTCCCTGTTTGATATTAAACCAGATTGTTACCAACTTTACTGCCACATTTGGTCTTGAATTGAGTTTTTGACCACATATCCATGTCAACACTAACCTACATTCAATTCTGTAGCATTGCTTGATCCCAATCCCACTTCATTTAATCGACTACCAAGCCTCCCATTTCAGCCGTTACAACTTGTCAACTTGACTATTAGGATGCACTCCTCACTAGCTTGACACATTCTGCTCTGTGGAAAATCAAAACACTGATGTCTATGTCCTTATTCACAAGTTCCACGCACCTAACGCTCCTCTGCTTGTTTTCCTATCCTGGCTCCCAGTCAAGTAAGAGCTTGATTATAAACCTTCCATGATCTTGCCCCTCCATTTATGAATTCCCCAAACTAGTCAATTCAAGGCCAGAGAGTGGGCTCACTGAGGACAGTGGGTGGGCTCCCAAAGCTAGAGGACAAACCTTCCTCCATTGGAGAAGTATGCTGCTTTTTCAGTTGAGTGAAGGAGCAGGCACCACAAAATGGATGAGCGAGAGATAGAGAGAGGGAGAGTACACCAGATTGGAAGCGCCCTCTCTACATCGTTTTAAATTATAAATTCGAAAATGCCCTCAGCAGGAAGACCAAATTGTGAAGGGGGAATTCCTGTACCAAATGCCTGTGCTAAACATCAAGGCATTACAGAAGGACTGTGATACTAGTAGCTCCGATTGAGGGTGCATCCTGCAACAAGGCAAGGCAAGGCAGGGATGCTGTGAGCACCCAGGTCGGTTCCGAGTGAGGGAGTACCAAGAGAGTGAGTGAGCACCCCTGAGATACAGCCTGATTCAATCCATGAGCTGGGTGCTGGTCCCTGTACATAAAGTCCCCTTGCTGCAGCACTGCAATGATGATGAGGCACGAAGTCCAGCTTTACTCTGCAGAAACATCCTGTCACTGGATCAAAAAGGTGCCATGGTAACACAGGGACACTGACCAATGTCTGTGGATAAGGGTCACGGGGGACTGGGTGTTGTGCTGGTTGCTGCCCATGGAGCATGCCCTGAGATGTTAGTGCAGTGTCCAAGATGGAGGACCAGAGGAGCAAATGGAGAGCTGAAATCACAGGTACTCGCTCTGTCTTTCATGTCGGGAATTGTCAATGTCTAGTTATCATGGTAGGTAGTAGGATAGGAAGCTGCATATTAATGAGGTGAGATTTGCACTTAATGAGGACATTAACAAGCAATAATCCCAGTTAATGGGCAACTTGCTGCCCACTACTGAGAACTTTGTCTTGATGCCAGGAACTCTGTTTGAAAATTCACAACTTGCTCTCAACGTTGAGGAAGTCCTCACTGGACCTTATACAATTCTCCCAGATTGCTTGCACATCACTCAGGGTCTTATAAGATTCTGCTCTATACGTTGATGTATTATACAGTGCAGATTTTGTTCATGGAAAACACTTAAAAAGCAAAATAACTGGAGATCTTCTTGTGCAAGATAGCCTACACTCTACGCAAGAATTCTATAGACTGCTTTAGGATGGTATGCACTTTCAAAAAAGCTGTCAATTAAATACAAAGGACTCTAATTGTATAAAATGTTAATATACCCAAAGATGTAATAAATCTTATCAACTGAAGTTTCAGATGAATGTTTGGTATTGAGTTCAGTGTAAATATAAAACAAATAATCTATTTGCATAACCTTCTTTGAGGTCACCATTCTGCAGTAATAACATTCCCAAGTATTTGCAAAGCTGGTCTCATCCATTTGTAGATTTCTGGTTGAACAGGACTCCATGGCAGGACATAAATGAAGTTCCTTACAAAATCCCACCAGATGAATTAGCTTCCTTAATGCATTTTGACATTATCTTGAGAACATGAGCTTAACTGTTGTTACTACATTCAAACAGATGGCTGTTGGAGGAAAGATTAACAATGCCCCCTCCTCATACAGTCTGCAATGTAGGATCTGGGATTTCTATAATTCTACACATTTGCATTTCCACATTATTGCGTAGCTTCAGTTTTTTTCTGATGAATTATTCAGCAGAAGTTGCATTTAATGAGGTTCATGTCCTTATTTTTAAAAAGGAATTATTTTTCCTTCTGTCAAACAATAGCTGTTACCGACATCTTCTGTGGATTAAATTTTTAACATGTTGCATTTAAAATACAAGCCTGAAGAAGTAAATCATTGTACTGACTGTTTCCTCACCATGGCAAGTAATTTACCTTAGAAGAGTAAGTGTGGCCATCGGAACCACAGACAGAATTTGGGTGCGTCACAGCACAGGGCTTGCATTTAACCAGATTGGCTCCTCCATTCCATTGTCTGTGAAGAAGCCCGTCCTTTTTCTGCCTGAGACTGCAAGTAAAAAATGCAGTTGATTATATAAAGTGACAAAGCCTAAATGCATGATATTCTCAATCTTCACTATTATCACTTCTGGAGATGTTCCAAAAGGTGGGATTTCAGTAACACAGCATGGAAGGACAGATTCGATACAGTTAAAAGATAAGATTAAATTAGTAAATGTTGGCATACATTATACATGCAGGTGGTGGTCCCTCTGCCAGTTGGGAAGTCAGGGACAAGTTGCTTCTGCTGCCCCTAAAAGCCATGATCAGATTTTACTGTCATCGCACACTCAACTTCCTGCTGTACGGGTTGACCCACCTCCAATATCTGCCACCAATCACAGGACTGGTGGCTCTTCAGAGACAGCAGCATCACCAAAAGCAGTGGCCATTGCTGGGGCTGCATTCAGTTCCTGTGTGGTGGCACCATTAGATGTCAGAATTCAGGATCAGTGGGTTAACGTTTAGGCGGGAGAGGTCACTTTTCAAGTGGGTGAGCTCCTTTCCTCTGCATGAGGCCCTTTGTGGGCAGGGGTCTCCAAAAAGGAGGTACCCTTAAACAGACAGAGAGGCTTCCAGGATATCCCTGACGGCCATGCAACGTGGTGAGGGCCTGTCTGCTGCTGGTCACCACTAATGGTGTGTCAGTGGAAGCATGAGGAAGTTCTCAAAGTGATGATTTAAATAATCAAAGACAGCAGGTCCCTTGACATACCCCCACACCCCACAACATCCCAGCCAGTTCCAAGTCCATACTTGGAGTTGCCCATTGTATCAGATTCATCAACAAAATGTGGAGTTTTGGAAATTGCACCATTTTATGTTCACATTTCATTCAAATTTTTGGTGAAGTAGACTCCATTCAGTGCAAACCATTTGCTGATAAAATTGACATTTAATGCAACCTCATATAAGGGTCTCAGCCAGCACTGGAGAACACCATACTCTGATACAGAATGTGACATTGGTTAGATTTTGTTGTCTTCCCTGAACTTTTTCAAATTTTAGCATAAGCCTTTCTCTAAAATGGACATAAGTTTTCCAGGATTGTAATATCAGTCAAATACGGAAAGTGCCAGAATAGAAACAGTGTGTCCCTCAATTCAAAATCTCAAGTTTGGAAATAATATAGCTTGAATTGATCTAATTATTCAAACTTGAGAAAAGATTGAGATCCTACCATAGTTAACTAACTTTATTGTCTGTGGATAAATCTAATCTTGTGTGCTCAATAGAACTCTATTCTTTTGGTTCATTTCTACAGCTCCTTCTTGGAGGTGTAATGTGTGTAACGAGGTCAGCTGGGTGAACTCCATAGAATACGAGCTCCCTGATTGGCTGTTAATCTGGTCCAATTAGGGAGCCCTGGCTGACAGATTAAAAAAAAGGAGTGTCAGAGATTCTAGTACACTGAGAGCTGACTCTGAAAAGGCAGTATTAGAGTCGATGACCCTTCATGTGGAAATAAAGGGTGGCTTGGTGATGCCATACTGGCCCCTGTGGAGTTATTTCAGGAGGGACCAAACCTTTGCTAACTCCCTTCAAATCTTCAACATTGAGACTGCAGATGAAAATCATACACATGGCACAGCAATGATTCATGATTGGCCATAGAATCCCTGTTACCAGATATAACTGGCATTAGACATGCACATGATTTATGTAAATTGATTCAGGTTACCTAGTTTTGTCCTATTGGAGAAAGCCTGGTGACTTTGTGGAGTGGATAATCCCACATCTTATATATAAACGGTTGTTGAAATGTGGTATTGTGATGATCTTAGACCCAAAGCAGGAACAGTAAGGAAATTCTGTAACTATTTAAAACATTTGTGTAATCTGCAATTGTTTTTAAGAATGCTTGGAAGTAAATTTTAAGATTTGCATCAGTTGTAATTTTCTTGAATAATAAGAAACACAGGTTCATGTCACCTAGCAACCTTTGACATGGAAACAGTCCCAACAGGAAGACAGTTAATGTATGGACATCTTGGATGCAAAGGAGAGATGCAAGACAGGAGAGTTCAAAGCTGAAAGTGACCAGCAAACTGGGGTGACATAAGGAGAAAACAGATAGAGTCAGGAAGGAAGAGAGAATTCATGTGAGGAAAAGCTAGCAAAGCTTTCTATGATAAAGTTAGTTATTATTTGACAGTGAGAAGAAAAATAAAATTCCAGAAGTTCTTAGGAATGCAAAATGTTATGGAATCCTAAAAGTGGTGCAAATAGCTCAGACATCTCTTTTTAAATGCTATCTGTCTCTGTGGGTTTTAACATAACAACTCGATAAGTTTGTGGTAACATTCATTTTTTTTTCAGGTGAAACAATCCCAAAAATGTTTAGAGCATTGAAATACATTATCAGTGGCAAAGCAAAAACAGTAATCTCAGGAACTTTCACTTAACCTGAGTGGAAACACATTTTATTGAAACAAAATTTTTATGTAAAGTTTTCTTAATTATCCTTGGTCTTTAAGTCACACTTTCTATTCAAAGTGGAACATAAATAAGACAATTCATTCTTTTAAGGTGCCAAAGAGAAAAAAATATGAAAATGGTGATAATTTGAATTGAAACAATGGAAAGAACTGCAGATGCTGTAAATCAGGAACAAAAACAAAGTTGCTGGACAAGCCCAGCAGGTCTGGAAGCATTTGTGAAAGAATAAACGCTGTTAACGTTTCGGGTCCAGTGTGTTCTGAGGAAGAGTCACTGGACCCGAAACGTTAACTCTGTTTTTTCCTTCACAGATGCTGCCAGGCCTGCTGAGCTTTCCCAGCAACTTTGTTTTTGTTCGTGAAAAATTACATGTAATGTGTGTCACTTTTCTGTACTAATTTGACAAAGCAATGTTATAAAGCTGAAAAGGCATAAGCAGTAAAGTATTGTAGGTCTAAGTGCTTAATGGTGGGAATTTTAACTCCTACTCTTTTGCTATACAAAGGAAAATGTTAAGTGAATCTTAAAGGGTTTCTTTAGTCATATAACAAGGTTTACACAGTTTGGGCTGGCAGAGTACCTGGTTATGGCTTGTCAGGGTTCTATTGACATGGGGGATCCTGATTTCTAAATTTATTAGTCTCCCTGAAAATATGTTCAACATTGTAACATGCTCTCAGGACTTTGACACATTTGAATTATGCAATCAGGTTTATAGAATTAGACAAGTTTGAACTATGTTATAGCCCGTTATTTAATAGCCAGTCTTCAGTTATTCTTCACTTTAAAGTTTTATGTGTGAACTACTGTAATCATAATTTACAACATCATCCTAGAATGGAAGTCGTTGAAAGCTTCCATATTTGAACTACAGTGACATATATCTTTAATTCATTTTGATCCCATAACAGAGATGAAATCCTTGAAGTAAACACCAATAAATTGACTTGGCAGCTGGCACTATCAAAAGAGCTATACAGAATGATTAACATATCTAAAATTTTAACAATTTGACTTCTGAGGTCTAGATTTGATGGCCCCTACTGGGCAGTCTTCAGATAGAGTTGTGGGTGTGGCAGTGGGTACAGTAGAAAGATCTGTCGGGTGACCAGCCCACTGCCTACCCACATATCCCCGAACCAGTCCCTTTGGTACAGTAGGAAGCTGCCAGCCAAAACCCACCCATCATTTCTTTTTAAAAACTGGCAACTGAACCAAGCCAATTGACCCAATTGTATACCGACCAGGCTAGGTGGCACAAGAGTCAGAAATAGCTTTGTGTAAAATATGAAAAGAAGAGGGAGTGCATACATTGGGAACCCCTTTTCCTAACAAATTATCCTCCTTAGCTCCTCTTGGCCTAGCCTTCAAAACCAGCAACCCCATATCCCATTGCACTCATCCATCCCTCCTTCCCTAGGCACCCTGACACCTTTCTGCCCTAAAAGCCTAAGACTTAATTTAGTCCAGAATTCATTGCTCTTCTTCTTCGCCCTCCTTGCAGTTCATTCAGCACCCACTTCTCACTTCTGAATTCTGGGATTTGTGCAGATACTACTGAATCAGATTACCTGCAAGTCTCTAGCATGGGACTTGCTCTCACTGTTGGGTGGAAGACTAACCCTCATCTGCTTAAGGCTTTCTGGAGTGAATTACATCATTGGAGTGGCCTTGCTGAATGTCAGTTTATGTGCCACCAACTTTCATTCACCCTTGCATCTTGCAGAGGCTGGGGCTGACTTTTCATGGAGTTCGAACAAATTTTGATCTTTCTAAAAATAACAGGATGCTGATGCGTCTAGTTTTGCCAGCTTGGAGAAGGTGTAGGGTATGAATTGTACAAGTGGTAAGTCCAATCTCAGCAAGGCGATTTGAAGTTCATGTTTAAAGTTTGTGCAGACCCCATTTTCACTATTTCAAGGGCTTTATCCCACAGTATAGGAGTCACAAATTTATGAAGAAGGTGTAAACACTGTTGGGCACATATGTTTAAGTGACATGATCTGGAATTATTTGAATCCCAAGCTCTTTATAAATGACCAATCGGCAGCAACTTTCAGCTAGAATGACAAATAAGACTTCCATTGTTGGAATGCCATCTAGTGTAGCTTAGAAAAAAAAAATTACCCATCTGCTCCTGCAATTTTTAATGAACTTCTTTCTTGATGCATCCCATGAGTTGCTATTATTAGCTGAGTCCAGTTCATTATGAATATTTGGTTGAGTTAAGCAAGTATGCCAATGGGACATGGAGCTGAGTTCATTTTTTGATTAGCAGTTCTGAGATGCCATTAAAATACTGGCTGTATCTGATGTGGTTAGTGAATAAATGTTTACTTTTACAATAGATTGACCACTTGATGGGATTTAAATTTTTTGCATGAGTTTGATAAATGCCTGGACATGTATGGCAAGTGGTTTGAGGGTACATGGGACTGGAATTGGAGGTGACAGGCAAGGGCTATAGGCTCATATACATCCAGACTGAAACATCAGACAACCAGAACCAACCTTCAACAAACTCATCTGAGGACACATTGCCCCTGTGGCCACCTCTGTTTCCTGTGG